CCTCATACTCTTTATTGCGATAAGAGCAAAAAGGAGAGGCTGTAGACTAAGTGCTCATCCAAGCATTTGTAGGCAAGCGATTATTAAAGGCTATCCACATGAAAACTCTCACTCTTTCAACTCCTTTCCGATTCCAAATAAGTTTAAAAAACAGGACTAAAAGCATTTCCAGGAGGTTCCTCAAGCATAAAGTAGGCACTTTTAATAGTGAACTTGCCATCATTTGTTGCGTTCCAAGATAAAATGTCATTTCCAGCAGTAGCCACAGGGGGGAGGATCGCTATCAGCTTGAGTCACAGTAGAAGGAAGCACCGTTGCTAATCTAAAAAAATCCCAAGAGCCATAGGAAGTCCAATCAGCAACCTTACTATTTTCTTCCTCAATGGACAACGGACGTAGACTCATATTTTTGAGACCTATTAGGGAATAGCCAATGATCAGTGAAGAAATTAACCACCTGGCCATTTCTAATGTTCCACTTAGACCCTCTCTCCACCAGCTGCTTTTGTTAAATAATGAACTTCCACAGGCTGGAATCTCCATTCAAAAGCTCGCTTTCACTTCTCACCATATATTTTTTAAGTAAAACCTCAGCCCATAATGCTTCAGTACCTGAGATTAATTTCCATGCAAGCTTTGCACCACAAGCATTATTAAAAGAAGTCAACTTCTTGAACCCGAGGCCGCCCACCTGTTTAGGAAGAGCAAGTTAGTTCCACCCCATTGGATGGAAGCTATGCGCACTATCACTATGGCCACATATAAAGTTCCTTTGTAAACGTTCTACTTCTTGGCAAATGGAGCTGGGGATTTTTGCTACCTGCATGGGGTAAAGCGGTATTGCACTTAGAACTGATTTTGCTAAGGTTATGTGACCAACAGTTGACAGACATTTTTCCTTCCAAGAAGTTAATTTATTTCTGGCTCTATCAACAATATAATGGAAAGTTTCTGTAGGTTTCCTCTTTCTGGATAAAGGAAAACCCAAGTACCTCCCAATTTCTGTAGAAACCGTCGTTCTAATGATTGCACTAATCCTCTTCTTAACCGCCTCAGGCATTCTTGGGGAGAAAAAGATAGAGGATTTTGGTTTACTTATTTTTGCCCCCGAAGCAAGACAGAATTTCTCAAGGCAAGTAATCATGTGTTTTGCTTGCCTCTCTGTTGCCTCACCAAAGAGGAATAAATCATCTACAAACATAAGATGTGAAATCGCAGGTCCACTTTTGGTCATCATAATAGGCTTCCAAGAACCCTCTTTTGCAGCATCACTAATCACATGACAAAGTCTATCCATACATAAGACAAAAAGCAAAGGACAAATAGGGTCACCTTGCCTCAAACCCCTCTCCGGGTAGAAGAATTCAGTTTGAGAACCATTCTAAAGAACATTATAAGAGACTGAGGAAACGCAATCCATGATTAAGTCCGTGAAGCTCAAATCTAAGCCCAAATCAATAAAAACCTGTCTTAGGAAATCCCATCAAATTCTATCATAGGCTTTTTCCAAATCAGTTTTCATTGCTAGTAAACCTTTTTTGCCTTTTGCTTTTTTCATTATATGCATAATTTCCCGACCCATTATAATGTTATCTTGAATATGTCTTCCTTTAATAAAGCTAGATTGGAAAGGAGACACTACATCATCCATTAGCATCCTTAAACGACCGGTGATAACTTTTGTAACACATTTGTAGTGCACAAAACACAACGAGATAGGTCTGAAGTGACTTACAAATTCAGGATTGTTCTGTTTTGGAACAAGAGTAATGAGCATTCTGTTAGCTTCAGATAAAGCTCCCTTCCTTTCAAAAACATCCTTAACAAAGGAACAAAGAGTGCCACTTACAATATTCCAGTTGGACTGATAGAACACCAGGGGAAAGCCATCTATACCAGGAGCCTTACAGGGTCCCATTGAGAATAGTGCATTTTTTATTTCTTCATCAATAGGGAGTCTGGAGAGACAGTCCCGTTTATCTCTACTCAATCTGGGGAAGTGAGCAATAGTGTCAAGGGAGACGGCTTCACTGGCGTTGGCCTTGAAAAGATCATGGAAATACTTCAGTACCATATTCTTCAAAACTATCTCGTCCTCCACCCATTCCCCTGACTCATCTTTTAACGATGACACCTTATTATTACGATCTCCTTATGTAATCCAAATAGCTCTGGACTTTTGAAACCACTTAATTTCTTCAAATTTCAGGACTTCGTCAGGCTCCGCTTGCAACTTTTTCTCAAGAGAGCAGAGAAAATGTGAGCCAGGATAAACAGGGGAACGTTGGATTCCATTCAAGCGTGCTAGAATGGACCTTTTTTTCTTTTCAACAAAACCAAAGACATTTCTATTCCAATCAACCAGAGCATTACTGCAGTGTTTGAAAGAACTAGATAAGCCTGAAGAAGAAACAGATCAACAATTCTTTAAAAATTCTTTAAATTCCTCATGGGAGAGCCACATGGCTTCAAATCTAAAAGGTTTAATCATCCCAACATTCCCACCAGAAGGTTGAAAAAGAAGCATCAGTGGGTTTTGGTTCGAGAATTGAGCTCTAGGCAGTACGTTAACAAAGAAGTCAACCATTACTGATAGAAACGAGGGATTGGCTAAAGCTCTATCTAATCTTTCGAATAGTCTTCTACATCCTTGCAATCGAGGCCCCTTCCAAGTGAATCAAGGTCCTTGAAACCCCACATCAGAGAGACCACATTCTCGAACTTTATCGTTGAACCAGTTGATCCTTGACAGATTACATGCCGTACCTCCAGTTCTTTCCGATGGGGAGAGGATGTTGTTAAAATCTCCAATAACTACCCAAGGTTTCGAGATCGTTAAGGAGATGGGGTTAAGTTTTGCCCATAGAACCTGCCGTAAATTAGAGTGGGGGACCGCATAAGCCGCTGTAAGAACAAAGGAAGGTCGACCCACTATTTCACAGTCAAAATGGAGAAACTGTCTATTTTCTTCTAGCAAGGAAAGTCGAATATAGTCGCGTCGCCAAACTGCCATAATTCCACGTGATCTTCCCACACCAGGAAGAATTTTTAGCGAGTCAAACCCCCCTCTGTTTTGTTGCTGTTGCTTGGTTTGTTATTTTCAGGTTTTAGGTGGGCCTTCTCCTTTAGCTCCTTTGGGCTTCACTCAAATCGACCAACTACGATGGACCAGCCTTTTTATATAATCATTGTATTTATGTTGAATACCATCTCATGTGTATATATGTGGACACACGTATAAAAGCGTTTCATCAATAGAATGACAAATAAAATTCTATTGATACTTATATCTATCGGAAAATGATCTCAATACACTTGAATTTTTTTAAACAAATACATTATTAAGAACCTTAGTCCTCAAAAGTTACTTTTAACTCTTTAATTTACGCTAAACTTCAATTTAATTATTCAACTTTCGTGGATTTCTTTCTAATCCTTTAGCTTTAAAAATATCTTTTCAAATCTCTTTGTTTTCAACCAAATATTCCGAGACTTTATTGAAGCCAATAAAAATTCCGAGGCTCTATTATTAATCCCGGCTTTGATAAATTAGAATAGTTTTTAACGAAACAAAAAGTAGATTAAGAAGATAAAAAATACAAATGTAATTATTTAAAACTTAGACAATACAAATTCATTGTTGATGACTTCAAGTTAATAAAGCTGTGTTTACAATTTATAATTTTATATGGAAAGAATAATTTTAAAATTACAGTGAAATACTATTAATTAAATTTTGTCATAATTTTTTCAACAAAAAAAAAATCTTAGCACATACGGGGGAAAACCCAAGGCTTGGTTTGAACCGAGGCTATAAAAAATTAAATCAAAATGTATAGAAATTCCAATTAATTCAATCAAAGAAGTTGGTAATCTTGTATGTGTAGTCTTTGGACGTTGTCTGGCAAAAAAAAAACTTTGACGTTGAGAAGATTACCCCTCCATCGAACTCTCAACCTCCAGCCACATGCCATTGGCTCCCAAATGGCAAGAAGGGCTTTACGGTGCTGCAATTTGTGAAACTTCACACTAAAAACTACTCTATCCAGTCTTTACTATAAGTTTTAATAACTAATTTACAAATAATAAATAATTAGTTAAAATTAGTTAAAAATAATAAATAGGTTAGAAACATAGTTTTGTTTTCAAATATGCACTTATAATAAATGGAAAAAAAAAAGGATGATAGAGAATATATGATAAAATGTAGTAAGAGAGTATGATAAATGAGAGAGAATAAATAATTAAGGGTAAAATTAAAAAAAATACATTAAATGTTTGGACAAACCCCAAGTTGAAACTTATAAAATAAATTACACCTCTCTTCAAATTTAAAACTTGTAAATAGGACAGGCGGGGGTATCGTAAATGGATTAGTTATCCTTAAATTTTAAGAAAAATTACCACAAGATTTCAAGAAATGAATGTAATTATTATTAAAAAGTACTCGCTCAACAAGTGAACAACATATCATGAAAATTAAAGCTCCGATGTATGAAACGAGAACAAGTCAGCAATTCACTTATTATGAGACATTTTTGGGGATTGCATATTCCATCATTTAGACTGAACTCAGTGACTTTTCTTAAATTGTTTCATTAAGCACATGTATCTTTTTACCCTGAATTTTGATCACATGTTTATTGGGGTCACCATAAAGCCAGATGTTGATGCCTTATATAGTTATATTAATTGTTCCAATTCATTAGCTTAAATTACTGTAAAGCCAAAAGTGATCCCACACCAACCAAGGAAATCCCACCAAATTCGTTTATATAGCTTCATCTAAAATCTACTAATTTTGGTGTATAAACATAATGCCCTAGCCAGCTCAAAAATAGCATGAGGTCTAAATTCTCGTACACCCCCTGGATTCTCTCTTTCCCTTACATATCCATATTATCCATCTTCTTCTCTGAGTCAAAAAATCTTAAAATATCAAACTCAGAATCAAAACCTGCAATATTATTACTATTTTCCATGGTGTATCGTAACGTACAATGAGCTCTAATAACTTGCAGAAACTCAAATATGATAATAAACGCAAAGATGAAGAAGAAGCAGAAGATAACGTACTGTTTCATCAAAGCGAGACAATTCCGTTGTCATCGCCGCCGCCATATGGGTTCTCGGAGCCGCCGTGGCCCTCCCATTTTGTGGAGGAGGACAACAACGAGGAAGAAGTTGTGTATGCAGATAAGGTGAAAGTGCAGATATTTGACTTGGAGACTTCCTCTAACTCCACCTCCACCGTGGCTGTGCCGCCATTCTCGTGGCGCAAGCTGTGGCTGTTCACGGGGCCGGGGCTGCTGATGAGCGTGGCGTTTTTGGACCCTGGGAATTTGGAGGGTGATTTGCAGGCAGGAGCCATTGGAGGGTACTCATTGTTGTGGCTTTTGATGTGGACCACCGTCATGGGGCTGCTGATACAGCTGTTGTCGGCGAGGCTCGGGGTGGCGAGCGGGAGGCACTTGGCGGAGCTCTGCCGGGAAGAGTACACAAGGTGGGCGAGGTTGGTACTGTATGTGATGGCGGAAATGGCATTGATAGCTGCAGATATTCAAGAGGTTATTGGTAGTGCCATAGCCATCAAGATTTTAAGTCATGGCGTTTTCCCTATTTGGGCAGGAGTCGTAATTACAGCCCTGGATAGGTATGTACATATATGACTTCTTTTTTTGGTTTCTAAGTGATAATTAAGTTCCTTAAATGTTTGTCATTTTTGTGTCTATATATCTACATAATGCTTGTAAAAAGAGCCATTGAAAATGTGAATTCCATTATTACGAAATATCATTGAAAAAATATTATAAACTCCTTAAGTATATAATTTCAATTCCCATAACCATTAAGAAAAAAAATATTGCATTCAACCCTAAATGTAAGAGTTAGTTAGAAAATTTTCACTGGTTGTAAATGTACTATTCCAATATACTTTTTTTCATAAATTTATCATTCTTTTCCCAAACAATCCTATTGGTGGCGCATAGTAAAATGAGTTTTCATCAACAAAGGTAATTTCCAACACAAAAGATTAAAATAGTATTTTAAGAAAATCAACATACATTTATTATAAATAACCAATCTAACTAATTTTCTTAATATTTGTTCTATAAAGTAGTTATCTAACTGTTACCTTTATGATTAGATGGAATATTAATTTATTTGGTAATAACTTAGTTCATAACAAAACTAAAAAGTTTTAATCTCACTTTTAATGTGGGATCTTCTTGATATATAATCCTACAAGCGTTTATGTAAGTAATTAAATATTTTCGTAAGCTTTTGAACCTGATCTATGCTATTCGAGTGATTTTTCGTACATAACTTACTTAGACTCCCTTTTCTTGAGAAAATTAACCTTACTTATATCATTCAAAATTGTCTCTTGTTGAACAGCTTTGTGTTCCTGTTTCTTGAGAACTATGGAGTAAGAAAGCTGGAAGGTGTTTTCGCAATTTTCGTAGGGACCATGGCCCTTTCGTTTGCTTGGATGTTCTTTGATACAAAGCCTAGTCCTAAACAACTTCTTATAGGTACATACATGCCCAAATCTATGTAAACACATGAATCCTTCAATATCCATACATATACACACACGCGTACACACTTGATGTATAAATGTAACATTATGGTACTTGTTCTTGAAGGTATTTTAGTCCCAAAAGTGAGCTCAAAAACGCTTCGTCAAGCTGTGGAACTTATAGGCTGTGTTATAACTCCACACAACGTATTTCTCCACTCAGCCCTAGTTCAATCCAGAAACATAGACATAAAAAACAAAGGCCAAGTCCAAGAGGCTCTAAACTACTACACAATCGAATCCACACTTGCACTTATCATCGCCTTCTTCATCAACCTCTCGGTCATGACGGTCTTTGCTAGGGTTTTCTACGACACAGAACAAGACGACGCCATCGGACTCGTAAACGCCGGCCAGTATCTGCAAGAGAAATATGGCGGAGGGTTCTTCCCCATACTGTATATTTGGGGAATAGGGTTGTTGGCTGCAGGACAAAGCAGTACTATTACCGGTACGTATGCTGGACAGTTTATTACAGAAGGGTTTCTGAAACTGCGTTTAAAGAAATGGTTAAGGGCTCTGATCACTAGAAGTCTGGCCATTGTTCCTACCATGATTGTTGCTGTTGTGTTTAATACTTCTGAAGGGTCTTTGGATACTTTGAATGAGTGGCTCAATGTGGTTCAGTCCATTCAGATTCCTTTTGCTCTCATCCCTCTTCTTACTTTGGTGTCTAAAGAGGAGGTCATGGGCACATTCAGAATTGGACCCGTCGTGGAGGTGAGACGCGCGCGCACACACACGCACGCATCTGCATTTATATAGACACATACACTTTGATTTAAACTACTTGGTCGTTATAGTTTTATCATTTTCGTTGAGTAATCTCAGCTGTGGCAATAGTGTGTGTGTGTGTGTGTGTGTGTGTTCTCTTTGTAGTATCCTGCTGCTGGAATAGAGAAATAGCATATCGTGGAGGTGAAACTAATCCATATTCATCCAACTATTTGGTCAATTTGTTCACTTATCTTACAATTATCACTTTCTTAATCTTTCTTGGAATTAAAAAAAGATGACAAACTTGTTTGTTTTCAATTCCATCTACTTTCCTAAGAACCTTAATTGATTCTTTGCTAGCTGCAGAGTAATATCATGCTGCAAAAGGAAAGAGATGTACACATAAAGATGGGTGATTCCCACCTGACATCTGTGGGATCCACCAATTCCATGTGTCTATTTCTCTTCTTGCATTATCACATATACATGATGATGTTGTAGTGGTAGAGAGAAAAAGAGAGATAGAACCACTGGTTAATATTTACCATTGTATATATGTTGTGACATACATGAAGAGAGTATATATATAATTAATCCTTAATATCTTTTATTTCCATGAATTTAATTAGTGGGTTATTAATGATGCAGAAAGTGGCATGGACAGTGGCAGTGCTGGTAATTCTGGTATATGGATACATGTTGCTGGACTTCTTCCTATCAGAAGTGAAGGGAATTGTGTATGGTTTTGTGGTGTTCCTTTGTGCGGCTGCTTGGTTATCCTTTATAGCTTATTTGGTCCAACACAGTGGTGCCTTTTCTTCTTTCCTCCACACTTCTCCTCATTCCCGTGGCTTCTCCTCTCTTTCTGCCCATTAATATAACCTAGCTAGCTAGCTACTTACCAAATCTTGTATACCAACTATGTATATAATCATGTAATTAATTTATATGGCATGGAAATTTTGCAGCAAGGTCATTATATTCAATCAGTTAGCATTTTTTTTTTAGCTAGAATTATCTGATCGTTAAATTAATGTCTGATCTTAACCCGGAAAAGGAATTGTAGTTAGATTGTAGTTGCAAGGCATTTGGATAAGTTATTGTCTCCGTGAAGAATGAGTAGGGTTTCACTTTTGGAAAATCATGGTTTTCCACCCTAAAACCATGGTTTTTAATCAAAAATTGATTTTGTAAAATATTCATGTGTTTGGATGGTGGTATCCCCGAACCAAGGTTTTGAAGTAAAAAGTGTTTTTTAGAAGCCAAAGTCCCTCTGTTATGTAGTTTAGCAATTTAGGATGAGAGTAGACTTTTCATCCTATATAAGGCTTCTATTTGAACTCTTAATTTTATAAAATATTTTTTTCAGTTATCTAACTTAGCTTTAACACAGTTAATCTCAAATATTGATTTTTTGTGTTACTTATTATTGTTAATTTTATAAATTTAATATAATATGTTAGTACTTGAGAATTATTTTTAACATCCAAAATTTATATGTCAACATTTTATATTAATGAGACTAACGATATTAGAGTTACCAGGCTCAAAAGACATCATAAAATTTAAGGGACAAAAAGATAAAAGTGTAAAATCTTACACGAAGTTAAAGAATCAAAAGTGCACTTTAACCAAAAGTTTATTTATACTTAAAGTTTTGTGTTATTTTACAAATTTTTAGTTGCTCTTTCTTGTTATTTTTATCAAGAAACGTTTCCACTCCAAATTAAAATCTAAGGAGCGAGTCACATTATATGTATAGAGTGAGTCATGCCATTAATTTTGTTGAAGATATATATAGATACGCGTGAAGATGATGCTCACTGATACGGCCTTTTTACTTATGAACAGTAAAGTAAATACCCAAACGCTGTATGGTGAGAATTATTTCCCAAGATACAACACCCCAAGCTGGTCCATAAGAAGAATAACTTCAAATTTATACACAACTCCTTGACTCCAAGAATGAGTTTCATGATTGTCACATCAAAAAAATGAAGTTGTTCACCATGTGGACAATTTCAGTTTATGCTGTTATTTATTATAAGTTACTTATGCCCTAAACTTGTAAAACAAGAAATCCATTAATTTGATAATTTTTTTCTTACATTTGCCCTTATTTATAATGTGCTTTATGTTTTCTCTTACTTGATAATTAATTTTTTATTAAGTCAACAGGGATAAAATTGAAAAAAGATCATTAATCATGCACAAGTAACTTATATTTAGGAACAAACATTTGGGATACAAGTGACCTATAATATCCAACACAATGGCACAATTTATTCATTATTACTTCCAAAATCTTATGATTTTTTAGCCCAGGAAAATTGCTCAACTATTTACAGGCAAATATGGCAATTGAGGAATTAAATAGTTCATGATACTGATTTTGTGTTACCATGAAGTGGTAGTGATAAGCCAGTTCGAAAACTACAAAGTCAAGAAGAGACTTGAACAAGCATAGTCCAAATAAGAAGAATTGCATGGCAGAAACCCCAACAAGGATGGTGCAAGCTGAATACGGATGGGATGCAAAAAAGGAACGTAAGGGTAGGATGTGGGGGAGTTCTCAGAGGCGATACTAGAGAGTGGCTTGGAGGTTTTCCAAATTATACTAGGATTCCAAAATCCAATCAATGCTGAAGCATGAAGCCTGCTAGAAAGATTGCGGATACGGAGAATTACAATGAAGTCCCAAGTAAGAAAAACAATTGAAAAATAAGCATCAGAGATTGTCATTTCGACTGTAGGACTTGTCATTATAGGCTGTTGAGGTTGTTATTTGGATTTTTTGGTAATTATTTCTCTTTTATGGGACTTGATTGTAATTTTCCTTTGTGGATATGTTGGAATATGGGCTTTATTAGGAAAGTGATTGTAGAATGTGATGCTAAACAAGTCACGGAGTCGTTAATAGTGAAAGATATATTGACGGCAATTTCGATATCACGAGTAGAATCAGAGAGATCCTAAAGAATGAATGGGAAGTAGAAATCAAGCATATGTATAGAGAAGAGCATAGATGTGCAGATAGACTTGCTGACATAAGTTAAAAGCAACAGGTGGCGAAAAAAATTTTTGGAACCAACCACCAATTCAGTTTTTTTTTTCCTTTGGGGCTAGGTGCGAATATTTTTTTTATTGAATGCGATTCTATTTGAAATACTGTTAGGTATTAAATGTGACCACATCTGCCAATAGAAATTCAAATCTTAGTTTATTACTTTGTGGGGGACTAACTCTTTTTACTAAATCTAACCTCCGTTGGTACCAACTGAGATTTTAGATATACTACCTCCGGTCCTAATTATAAGACCCAGTTGACTAATTTGAGGAGATTAAGGAAAGAAGTTAAGTTAGTTATTTGTAATAAATAGGTGTTGTCTTTCTTAAAATATCCTTACTAATCAACTATATTGGTTAGAACTATAGTTATTAGAAGGACTACCTTGGAAAAAAATGCATAAATATGAGAGACAAAGTGGATTGAGGTTTTATATTTAGAACCAAAATAAAAGTCAAACAGGGTCTTATATTAAGGACCAGAGATAGTATTACATGAGGTTGCTTTGGGCACAAGAGTTTATAGAAGAGTTTTAGGTTAGTTGGACTTGTCACTTTCTATTAAAAAAAAAAAAGCTTTTACGAAAGAGGTGGAAATGTTTTTTCTCATATAAAATTCCAATCTCAATGGTCTTCTATATTCATTATTTTTTTTCACAAAGTATAGAGTTTATAATAAAATTGTGCTACTAAATAAATAAGAAATGGGTAAAATTAGGGAAAATTAATTTGGAGGTCCTTATAGTTTCCCTTAATTTTGAATCAGGTCCTTGAGGTTTTTTGTCTTTTTATTAGGTTCTTTAACTTTTTATCATTAAATTTATGAGTCCTTGCCGTTAAAGAAGCAAACACCGTTACATCTTTCTTCTCTGCCGTGCCTGAACTCACGGTTCCTGCTCAAAACCAAAGGAGCATCAAAAACCAAGCAATCAATCCATTCATTCATAGCTCCATCTAACTCACATCTCTGGCATCCATATCCTTCCCGCCACTTCCAAGTTGGGCCTCTTCAGCTTCTCTCCTCCACTTTCCTTCGTAGAATCAGAAAGCATGGAGAGTTTGATAAGACCACATCAAACTAATCATGACTTTCACTACTAGACTCATCATCATCTTCAACAATATCATTAGTTTGATTCAAACTCTAGTTTCTCAAATGGATTTGGGACATGAGGGCTCTTGGATTGGCTCTCTTCATGCTCATTTTGTTCTCACCGTCGAGCTCCTTGGAGGCCATGAAAGTCCATCTCTCTCGTCTTTCTCTACTGATTCATTGTGTTGTCTCTTTTTCACGTGGGTTTGATGAACAAACTTGTTTCATCGTTAGAGTAGTGAGCCTTCTTGCTTTTCAAGAGATCTGATGTCATAGAAGAACTGGGAAGCAACGATGAGATCGCAGGACGTTGAAGGTGTAACGGTAATTTTTAACAGTGTTTGCTCTATTTAACAGCAAGGACCAATAGACCTAAAAGTAAAAAGTTAAAGGACCTAATAAAAAGGAAAAAAAAGCTCAAGAACCTGATTTAAAATTGAGGAAAACTATAAGGACCTCCAAATTAGTTTTCCCGTAAAATTATTGTACAATGTTAAAGCAGTTTATATTCTTATGCATCATGCACAATAATTAATATATTAATCGTGTTGGCGTTAATAATACGGATGCGTCATAACAGGAGTATTTTTTTTTTTGGCCAACGGAAGGAGTAATTTTATTACATACTTTATAATTTTTGAAAAATAATAAATATATATATGGCGAAATCGAGAAAATAATAAAGTTAGGGAAAGAGTGTGTAAAAATTTATCATCAATTTATGACGCATCAGGAAATGCCTCTTTTTCCTTCGTAGGCGCATTAAAATGTTTCTTTTAAAGATATACTTATTAGACACTTCTGACATATTTCACAAATATTAAGAAAAACTTTAAAATGTATTAATTAAAATGTAATAAATTTCTAATTTTATCTCTATTTAACATATTCATTTTAAAAAAAAGATAACTACAAATTTAATGAACTAAAAAAACCCTTCTCTCTATATTATAATAAATAAAAGACGAAAGGGTGTTTGGATGAGGCAAAACTATGGTTCGAAGAATAGCTTCTGGAGAATAGATTCTGGAGAGAATAAATTTTGAAAGAATGGATTTTCTGAAAAAGTGATTTTGATAAAGTGAGAGTGTTTGGATAATTATTGTTAAAAGTGCTTTTTGGTATGTAGAAATTACTAAAAAGGACATAAGTTTAAATGATAATTACATGTAAGATATATTTCATAATATATGTTTATTTGAAGTAATAAATTTATTAATAATATATATTTTGGCAACATAATAAATAAGACATAAATAATATAATTAATAAAAAAATTAATGTGTATATATATTAATAAAATAATTAAATATGTTTTTAGGAAAATGATTTAATTTACTTTGCCAAAAAAAATTATTATTTCTTAAAAATTTTAAAGATGAAATCCCATATTTTTTTTCACAAAATTAAATAACCACACAAAAAAATTTCATATTAATTGTCTTAATAATAGAGGTTGCAACGAAATATATTTGTTTAAATAGTTTTTTTAACAACACATTACATTATCTGAAAAAAAAAAAAAAGAAAATAAAAAGGGCATGACTATTCTTGTATATAGTGAATAATTTGATCTCTTATGGAGTCACGAAACCAAGCCATGTGAGATGAAGATTCTATTGATGAAGGTATTAAGACCTTGTCTACATATTAACTCTCTAATTAGGTTTTACATTAATAACTGGAATAATAATCTTACATCTAAGACCAATATTAA